TGTAAATCTTTATGGGAGCAGAAAGCCTCATCTTTCTCCCGTGGAGCAGCTGGTAGTTTCGAACTGCTGACCTTGCGGTTCACAGCCTGATTCATAACCAAAACCTTTGGGCCACAGTAAAAGAAATCCATAGCAATAAATGCCTACATTAAAAATGTATACATCGTGTTATGGACTGAATTGTGTCTCCCAAAAATATTTGTACTAATTTCTAATCTGTATGTGAGTCATTGCAATCCCATTTGGGAGTGGGCTGTCTTAATTATGTTAATAAGGCAGAATTAGTGTAGGATGTGCTTTAAACCAATCTCTTGTTGTTGTTGTTAAGTGCTATTATTGAGTCGGTTCTGACCCATAGAGACCCTGTATAGGATTTCCAAGGAGTGGCTGGTAAGCTTGAACTGCCAACCTTGCAGTTCAAATGGCTTTGCAGTCTGGTGCATTAACCCACAGCGCCACACCACTGTTACACAATAAAAAAAAGAGATAAAACAAGCCAATGAACAAGCAGAGATGTGGAATCATAGATAACCAAACCACATAGAAATCTTCAAGGAACCAGGATACAGAAGATGAAAAGGAGCATTCCCCCAAAACAAAGTCTTCCCCTAGAACTGACACCTTGCTTGCTGAAAGTAAAGAGGACTTAAAATATTTACTGATGAAGATCAAAGAGCACAGCCTTACGTATGGATTACAACTCAATGTAAAGAAAACAAAAATCCTCACCACTGGACCAATAAACAGCATTCTTATCAATGGAGAAGAGATTGAAGTTGTCAAGGACTTCATTCTTCTTGGATCAACTATCAACACTCGCAGAAGCAGCAGTCAAGAGATCAGACGATGTATTGCATTGGGCAAATCTGCTGCACAGGAACTTTTTAAAGTATTGAAGAGCAGAGATGTCAGTTTGAGGACTAAGGTGCGCCTGACCCAAGCCATGGTATTTTCAATAACCTCTTATGGATGCGAAAGCTGGACAGTGAATAAGGAAGATCGTAGAAGAATTGATGCCTTTGAGTTGTGGTGTTGGAGGAGAATACTGAAGGTGCCATGGACTGCCAAAAGAACCAATAGATCCGTTTTGGAAGAAGTGCAGCCAGAGTGCTTGTTGGAGGCCAAGATGGATCAGCCAGGTGACATCATTGATGGCCTCAAGTGTGGCGGCGGTAGTGAGGTTGGCCCAGGATCGGACATTGTTTCGTTCTGCTGTGCATGGGGTTGCTATGAGTCGGTTCCGACTCGATGGCACCTGACAACAACAACAACAACAAGCGACCAAAATTGTGAGAAAATACATTTCTGTTTGTTAAACCCATCATTTCTGTTACAACAGTGCTAAATAACTAAGACAGATCCAAAATCAACAGCATGATAACTTGAACAATTAGAAAAGAGCAAAAGATGTTCCAAACTACCAGAAGAATGGAAACAGTAAATATCAGAGCTGAAACAAATGGAATATAAAACAGGAAGAAAAAAAAAATAGAATCAATGAGATCATAAATTGGTTCTTGGAAAGGATCAGTAAATAGTAAAACCATTGGCTAAGTGACAAAAACCAAAAAGACAAGATACAAAAATAACTGAAATCAGAAATGAAATAGAATTACCAACAGATTCAGCAGCAGATAAGGAGGTTCATAATAAAATACTATGAAAAACTGTACTCCAACAAAATTGAAAACCTTCATGAAATGGACTACTACATATCCATAAAGAATGATGCATCACCAAAATATCTAAGACCATGGATGAATCTAGAGGACATTATGCTTAGCAAAATAAATCAATCACAAAAAGACAAATATTGCACAATCTCACTTTTATAAAGAGACACGAACAGCTATTTATGCATCATTGGTAGTTACTAAGGGTGGAGAGTAGGGGAGAGAGAAATTGATTCTATGGATAGTAGTAAGTTTTCACTTAGGATGATGGAAATGGTAGCATCAAATATGGGAGAAGTGTGCACAGCTGAATCATGATAACCGATGTCACTAGGTTATACACACACACACACACACAAAGATGTTTAGGTAAATTCTACATGATATATAATTTGTGACCACTACAATGGAGTCCTGGTGAGGTTTTGTGGGTTAATGTGCTATACTGCAAAGTTGGTTTGAGCAGTTCAAGCTCACCAGTTGGTCTTTGGAAACCCTATACAAGGTCACTATGGGTCAGAACCAAATCCATGGCACTCAGCAAAAACAATAATTAAAATGTGTGTTTGTTCAAATATATATGTGTGTATATAATGAAACCAATAAGGGTCATAGAAATTGATGGTTCTTAGACATAATCACCTCATGGGTGATTGGTTTTGTCTTGGTTTCTGTTGGTTTAAACATTTAGGTTTATAATCTCATGGGACAACTCAATCAATTGGTATAATATTGTTCGTAAAGTTTATTTTCTATATCCTAGTCTGGTGAGCTACCATTCTTATGTCACTTTGTCATATTGTGTGGTGTGTTGCGTCATCACTGTAATCTCTATTTTGAGGAGGCATCTCTTTCCCCAATCACATTTTCAATGCCTTCTAACCTGAGCAGCTCATCTTCCAGCACTGTATCTGACAATATTCTGGTGCTATTGATAATTTTTTCATTTTCTGGCACTCCATGCGACAATGTGCCTCTTCTCTTCATAAGGTTTTCAGTGACTAAACATTCCGAAGTGGTCCGCCTCTCCTTCCTCATCTGCAAATTCCATTGAAACCTGTCCACCATGAGTTACCAGGCTGGTATTCAAAATGCCAGCGGCATAGCTTCCAGTATGACAGCAACACACAAGGCACCACGGTGGTTCGACAACGTGACAGATGAGTGGTGGCACCAAGTCATAGTCATAACAGTGTTTTATTTGGCCTACACCATTTTTTAGTGGGAAGAAATTAAGTTTTAAGCTAATGTGTAGAAGTCTAGCAAAATGAGAAGATAGCAACCTAGCTTCTACAAGTGCACAATCAGCTGGAGCTGAGTAACTGGCTACCCCTTTATAAAGGAGAAAGGGCCCTCAGTCTCTGTATGCCAGTCACCTCACCGGGGGTACTGCCGCAGTCACGGGGGTTACTGCCTCACTCCCAGCCTTTGTTTTATATTCTTCCGTCAGATTCTATAAAGCCATTTGAGTTGATTTCAGTTTAAGTCAAAGAAATTAATCTAAGGGGATTATACAGATCATTGAGCAACAAAGGAAAGGTAGGTGTCCCTAAACAAAATCCTTGCCATGCCCACAGGCATATATAGTAATATAGTAGCTATAGCATTATCTTCAGAGTCTGGTGTTACAGTTAATGGTTCCACTGCTTGAAGGTTCATTCGAGTTTCCCCAGAAGTGCCCAAGAAGGATGTATGTACAAACTTAAAAAACAAACAAACATTCTCCTGAAGAAGGAATTGAAAGATGGGATGTAGTACAGCAAAGGCTCAGCGAATTTTATAAAATGGTATGGGAACATGTATGTACAAGCTTTTTTTTTTTTTTTTTAAAGAATGTGTACATATCTTGCATCGTCTTATGAGGAATCCTATGTTGTTAAGTGCCGTTGAATCGGTTCCATCTCATAACGACCTTATGTAGGGTTTCTGAGAAACCACACCAGGACTTTGAGGAATCCTTTGTTGGTGTTGTTGTTAAGTGCCGTCAAATCGGTTCCAACCCATAGCGACCGTGTATAGGGTTTCTGAGAAGCGGCTGGTGGGTTTGAACTGCTGACCTTGAGGTTCAAACTGACCTTGTAGTCCAGTACATCATCCTGCAGTGCCACACCAGGACTCCAAAACATAAAAATCCCTCTAATCTGGAGCGCAAGGCCCAGTTTTGCAGCTAGGACACTTTGCAATTTAACTAGCTGTGTGGTCTTGATCAAGTCACTAATAAAATGAAAATGACCTACCTACCATGCAGGTTTACAGCCCTAGCATGGTGTGGTAGTATAAGCACTGATCGGGGATTCAAACTCACCAGCCACTCCTCGGAAAGCCCACTCAGAGTTGCTAGGAGTACGAGTTGCTAGGAGTACGAACTGACTGGAGGACACTTAACAACCACCAGGCAAGTTTGGGAGGGTAAGAGATAATGTACTGAAGCACCTGTGTCAGTAGTTTAAGTGCCATGGAGTTGGTTCTGACCTGCATAGGGTTTCTGAGGAGCAGCTGGTGAGTTTGAACTGCCGACCTAGTGGTTCCATATCCAGTGCTGATCCTACAGCTCCTTACCAGGAGTCTGTGTCAGTAGGGGTTTAATAAATGGTGACTGTATGTAAGTGCCACTTTCGGTTCCCACTCACAGAGACCTTGTATAAGGTTTCGAGACTGTAAATCTTTGCGGGAGTAGAAAGCTTCATTGTCTCTCAAGGAGCGTCTGATGGGCTCGAACTGCTGACCTTATGGTTGTCAGACCAGTGCAAGGAGCCACCGTGCACTCCTTAATCAATGGTTGTTGTTGTTGCTGCTAAGGGCCATCGAGTTGGTTCCAACTCATAGCGACCCTGTATTGGGTTTCCAAGGAGCGGCTGGTGGTTTCGAACCGCAGACCTTATGGTTAGCAGTCCAGGGTTTATCATAATTTTCAGGTGGCAAATTTAGGCTGAGGACGATTAAAGGGAGCTAGGATTTCCTAGCCCACCAAGGTGCGAAGCTGTTGAACTCCTGTGAGTCAGGAGCTGAGCCACTGCCCAAAATCCGCCTCTAGAGTAACTGTATTCCGATAGAACGGCTCTCTCTTCAGCGTCCAGAGTCTCCAACTCAGGCGGCCGCTGGCCTCTGCGGAGCCTAAGGGTGCGCTCCGAGGTAGTGCTGGCCAGTCTCCGCCGGAAGCGCCGCGAGGAGCAGGCACGTCCCCGGAATCCCAACGGGGCCTACAACTTCCAGGCGCGGCCGCGCCTCCCAGCCCCGCGGCCAATTAGCGCCGCCGTCGGGACGGCGGCCTCCACTGCCCTCTAGCGCGCACTAGCTGCCATGGGAAGAACCCCGGAGACGGAGACCATGGTGCGCGGCAGGATCTCCAGGCTCTCGGTCCGCGACGTGCGCTTCCCCACGTCGCTTGGGGGCCACGGTTCAGACGCAATGGTAAGCGTGGCGGACGGCGGGGCTGCCCTGCACGCTGCCGGCGTCTTGGGCTGGCTGAGGCGGGAGGCACATGTGTCCCGAGGGCTACCCAACTTTGGAAAGGGGGGTGGCGGACCAGGACATTTTTCTCCGACATTTGGGGAATTATGATATCCAGAAGCTCTCCACCTTCGTAGCGCTGTTTCTTTTTTATTTGTTAAGGTTTAGAATTTCCTAGCCCACTTGTAACAACTCTGTCTGAAGTCCTGGTGTGGCGCTGTAGGATAAGCACCGGACTGCTAACCACAAGTTTTGAAGTTCAAACCCACCAGCAGCTCCTTAGGAGCCTTAGGTCGCTATGAGTCGGAAACCACTTGAAGACACAACAAGATTTAGAATTTCTTATTTTTACATTTATAATTCCCTTGTAGAAATGGTAGGATGTATACTATATAGCAATAGCTAGATGGCTTTGTTCAGCCAAGACCCCCGCCCCCAATGAAACCTGAGAGCATAGAGCTGGCTTTTTCTGTACTGAAAACTGGATGAGGTTCCCGGTGATGCAGACTATGAAGTCTGGAGTGAGAGTTTTGGGGTTATCTTGTTATCTTACCTCTGCACAACTTGCTATGTGACTTGGAGAAAACGAACCTTTCCGTGACCCTCAGAAAACTAGTCACAATTGAGCAGAGAAACTAGACACTCTGGGTCATATGAAAGATGTCTGATTGCAGAGACGGCCTAAGGCTTGGGCTGGTGAAATTTCCTGTAAATTTAGTTATAAAAGGATTTGTCGTGTAGAGAGGCACATACCAGCCCGAGGAGAAATAAGGATATGGAATTTTACTCCTTCCTAACTGTTCTGCTAGCGTAGTGGTTACGAATCGGGCTGCTAACCTCAGGGTCAGCAGTTCGAAACTACCAGCTGTTCTGCAGGAGAAAGATGAGGCTTGCTACTCCCATAAAGATTTATAGCCTCGGAAACCCTGTACAGGGTCTCTATGAGTCAGAACCGATTCCACGGCACACAGCAACAACAACTGCTAGAAGAGAAGGCTTTTTGCTTACTGAGAACCTTAGAGGAAACCCCAGAGTATCTAGTTCAATGATTCCCAATTATATGAGTCCTCCTACACAGGTCTTCACTAAAGGGGTCTGTCTTCCTACTTGGTCCTTCCTCACTGCCCTACTTCCTGCTGGTCTTGAATCTCTACTGACCCCATGGCTGCACTACAAAAAGTTACATCAGTTTGTGGTGAATGTATGAAAACATTCCAGCAAGTGAGAAACATTAATGTAAGGATAATGGTTAACCTCAGCAGAGGGAGGCTAGTAGGGTCAGGGAGAGGGGTAGCCAGGACTCTTAATTCAAACTGTAACGTATTATTTGAGTGGAGAACACATTCATTAGTGTTCATTACATTATCTTTGCTTTTTGTGTGTCTTGAATATTTCATAAACATAGCCTCTCAGGAGTCTTTGTGTAAACTTTGAAAACATGTGCTGCTAACCAAAAGGGTGGAGACTGAAGTCTACACAGAGGTGCCCTGGAACGAAAGTCTGGTAATCTACTTCCAAAAAAATCAGTCCTTTTTTATTTTTTAAGTTTTTATTGTGAATTGAGTGATTGTTTACATGGGAAAACATCGATTTACACTCATCCTATCATATTTTGTTTCATTGCAATGAAAATCAATCCATTTTGAAAACCTGGTGAGGCTTCTCTGAAACACAGGTGGGCATCATGAGTCAGAATCGACAACTGGTTAACTGGTTATTAACTTAACAATTCCTCCATGAATTCATGTTAAAAAGAATAAGCTTCTCTAAAGTTATTAAATGCAAAAGAACATTCTGTATTCTGAGATTAATTTCTTCCCATTTAAAAAAGTCTTTAAATGGCTTTTTTTTAATATATATATATGATATTATAGTATATGACTTAACACCCACTTGTTAATCTTGTGTGGCCTCCAAATGTTTTAAAATTTCCTGACTTGTAAAATCCTGATACTCAAACCATTGCAACTGCCGTTGCTTCTCTGAGGCTAAGCAGTCATGGCTAAACCACACAATCTCTCCAAGCCTATGCTTTCTCATCTGTAAAATGGGCATAGTAATATAAGGGGGCTTCAACAAGTTTGTGGGAAAGTGTAATTAAAAGGTCATGGAATTTTCCCATGAACTTATTGCTCCTGTGTAGTATCTGCTTCATACGTATAAAGGAGAGGCCTGTAACGGAACGAAGCCCTTTCCAGCTGTGATGACCTCCCCATAGGATCATGCCTCTCGAAAAGGATCTTCCTTATCCTTCTCCAGAAAGGGAGAAGAGGAAAGAACAAGACGAAGCACCGGTGCAGAGCCCTGATTCCTGCTTCACGGATGTGAAATGCCCAGGAGACCATGGATAAACAGTAGTACTTTTGTGTGTTGGCTGCTCCACTGTTGTCTGTCAGCCTACAAGAGGAAAAGCAAGCTTGAAGCCACACTAAGAGCACCTGGAATCAAGATGAGTGGGAAACCATCCCAATAAACACATTTTGGATTAAAAAACAAAACAAAAATCTTAACTTAGTACAGAGAAGATCCTCAATATGTTGGCATAGGACGAAACTGAAATAGCAGGGATTTTGATGTGGACTTTCCTATACTTTGAATTTGTGATGTGTTAAGGTAAAAAAATTTAAGAAATGGAATTCAGGCCAGGAACTATGACCTCTGCATAAGGAAAGTTTGTCTGACAGCTGTGTTGCAAGCTCATAATTAAGAGCTTAAGTATTGATCTGATAGGGATATGTGCCCTGGGCCTTCTTAACACATGTCAGATGCCTTAAGAGAATGTGCTATTTTGCACTTCTAGTGATATTGCTATAACGCCTGGACGGTGTGCTGGACTCGGCAATTCTGCTATGTCCAGTGCTTAGCAGAGTGAATTTTCCTGATTAGAAGCAGGATGTTTTCATTAATAAGCCTAAATTCTGTCGAAAAGCTTACCTTTAAGATTTGCTAGAAATGTGAATCAGCTGCTAACCCAAAGATTGGAAGTTCAAGTCCCGTCAGAGGTGGGGTTTATATGAGCATACTGTTTGCTTACTTACTCAGGTACTTACCAGGGTCCCAGAGAGCCCTGGACTAAAAGCTTAAAGCCCTCTTCAACTGACCCCTTGTCATTTGCCAATACTTTACCTCTTCTTTCCTCATTGACTGAGTTCTTTAGAGAGGCTGATTCAGACTACTTTGTCCTCCAAGTCACAGTCCTGCACCCTCAGCAGTTGAAGGTATTGCTACTGCATCACTGAAAAGACTGAACACCAATTTACCCCCAAAGATTGAAGGCTAGTCAGTCTCACCTATCCCTTTATTCTTCACATCATATCCTTCTTCTCCAAAATGAATCTCTTCTCCTGTGTTTCCATTTCTACCTTTCTTGATTCCTGAGGTTGTCATTCGTGTCTCCTCCACCAGTGAAGCATGTTCCGTCTTGGGTCTCTTCTCCATCCCCCAGAAACAGGGCATCTCACCTTGAACGAATCTTTACTTGAATCTGGCACCGATCTCTCATTCTGCTTCTGATTCTTCCTCGTCCAAGCTTACATTCTTTGTATTACTTTTTTTCCTCATTCTGAAATGGACTTCTATTTCCTTTTTCTGGAATTGCCACTGTTTCTACACCCAGTATCCTTTAGCCTCAACTACATTTCATGCTGTTTCCTGCTACCTCTTCTGCTGGCCTCCTCCCTCTCTGACTATTTGTCTCCTTCCTATGATGAATCCTGTTCTTCCCTCTCCAAGGCTCAGGCCTCAACACCTTCCATTCGCACTGCATATGCCCCTGAAGATCTTTCCACATTCACAGCTTCAGTGCCACCTTTCTACCAAAGGCTCCCAAATCTCATTTCTGGACATTCCCTCTCCAAGATCAACTGTCACCTGGACACTTCCGTTTTGACTTTTTTAACCATTTTCACCACCACTAGTTGCCATTGTGTCCACTCTGACCCCATGTGTGTCAGAGTAGAACTCTGCTTCATAAGAGTTTTCAATGGCTTATTTTTCAGAAGTAGATTATCAGACCTATCTTCCAAGGCACCTCTGGAGGGACTTGAACTTCCAATCTTTGGGTTAGCATCTGAACATATTAATAATCCAAGGGACTCCCAGGCTAAACACAGTCTATCTAAAGGGAACTCATCATCTTCCATTCTCAACCTTGCTCTCCCTCCTGAGCTTTCTGAGGTCATTCTTCCATTCACATGCACTCAGAAGCTTAAAGCCACCTTGGATCATCCTTTCCTCATGACTCTCATCTTCAGTGAAAGGTTTCCCTTTTCCATTGCTGATAATCCATTTAACCCAGGAACTGACAATGGTTTTTTAATTCATGGAGTCTCCCTAGAAACCTTATTTCCCAAGGAAATAAATAAAGGTTTGGTTCCCTGGAACCAAACCAGGATGGTCACCAACCCATGAGTCCATTCTAGTCTTTTTTCTTTTTTGGGGGTCCTGTTTACTGCCTTCACTGCCACCATTACCTTCACGTAGGTATGCAACTGGAATTACATATTCTACTTAGAATATCCACGTAGGGGTAGTCTTCCCTCCCAGATCCTTTAATCACTGTCCCCAGTGAAAAGCTCCCATCCTTAACTGACCAATGCAAATGCTATTTTCATCATAAAGTCTTCTGCAACTTCCAGTGTGTCTAATTAGTTGATAGTACTCACCGCCTGTCTGTCATAGTTTGTATCTCTCCCATAGGCTTCCCATGTTCGGCCTTTTACAAGTAAGTCCAAAATTATGACTACTAGGGTTCCAGTTCATAATTGTAAAGGTTTATTCCAAACAAAACATGCTTAAATAGGGTTCTGTGATCAGCAGATGGCTACAGAGAAGTTCCCTCAATTTATCTTAGTCCCATTATTGTTGTTCTTAGGTGATTGAGTTGGTTCCAACTCATTGTGATCTTATGCACAACAGAATGCAACACTGCCTGGTCCTGAGCCATCCTTAACAACCGTTGT